TTTTAAGGGGGGGTTACTTTAAATCATGGGTTTAGCACCCTTCTTGAGCATGGATTTACCATTCTGAAGAGCACTGAATCTGTTTTTAAACAGCTGCTGGGATGAACATTGCTCAGTGCAGTGGGAAACTCCCTCCCGATTCAAAGCCTTCCCCATCCCCCAGCCATTTAGTTTTCCAGACTATTTTAAAGTACAGATATAGTGCTCTTCAAAAAGAGTGGCCAATCAGTGTTTACAAAGAGCTTCAGCAGCAGCTGACAGGCACGGTAGTGAGGTTGTGCCCTGGAGTAGCGGAGGGAACTGGCTTTGCCTTTGCAGATTCACTTTGCTGTCCTTCCCACCCCCTGGCCTTGATCGTTGCTCTCCTACTGCTCTAAACAGGATGGTCCTGGAAGATAGGGCTCAGGGGCAATAGGGATGGAGGGTGGCTGCTTGTTTTGGTGTCAGCATCTGTGTGTATCTTCCTGGGGATTAGGCAGGGTTTTTTCTTCTATTGAATTGTTAACGAGGGGCTGCTGGGGGTGATTAGCAAGTTCATGAACCTAATCACCCCCAGCAGCCCCTCGTTAACAATTCAATAGAAGAAAAAACCCTGCCTAATCCCCAGGAAGATACACACAGATGCTGACACCAAAACAAGCAGCCACTAATCACCCCCAGCAGCCCCTCGTTAACAATTCAATAGAAGAAAAAACCCTGCCTAATCCCCAGGAAGATACACACAGATGCTGACACCAAAACAAGCAGCCACCTGGGCACAGAGAGAACTGCTCCTGTCTGTGCTCCTGCACTCTGAAGATGCCGGTCACAGGTGCTGGCGAAACGTTAGGAAACAAAACCTCCAGAACACGGCCACACAGCCCGGAAGACCCACACCAGCCATCCTTAGTTGTGTTAGAGGTCCTGGATTGTTTTCTGCTATGTTTTAGGAGGAGTTATTTTGATACTTTTAAACTGAATTGGATGTTTGTGTATTTTTACTTTTAGGACAGTGCCAGAAAGCGGCCAAAATTGGTAAATTTGTGGAAGAGGCAGACATGCTCATAGGAGGTCTGGCAAGAGATTATGCCTTTGCCTATTTACACTGAGAAATTAACATCAGGAAAATAACCACATTTTGATACTATTAAAAAGTTGGAGCTTGTTCAAACCATATACCCATAAATGTGTATTACGCTGCTATCATGGAATTTCAAGATAAATTAATAGATATTGTTTAGAATTTCAAGATTAGACTCTGCTGGAACAGTAGTATTGCTACTGAGTGAAATTGCTCATAAGTAGATATACTGCAACGTCTTGCAGAAATGGCTCTACTGTAATATATTACATTTGATCTTAGCCAAAAAAGCCAAGAACCAATGCTGTGTGATTGTGAATTAGTTAACTAGCATAATAAAGGTAGATACATCAAGTACAGAGATAGGGGAAATTATTCTTTTTATTATGTGTATCACATCTTTAGGCCAACAACTGCATTCTTCATTCTTATCATTGTGATTTCTGCATTCAAAGCCATATATAATTTTCTGTTGGCAATATCTCAGAATGGTAATTGTGCAAGACAGGACCATGAATAGTAATGTAACAAACTAGTTACATTTCAAGTAATCATAGTCTCTCTGTAGAGGTATCAAAATGTTTTGAGTGTTAAACGGCCTGGAAGTGTTCTGAATCCTAAATAGTAGTTTCAAGCCCAGAACACTTCTAGTAAAACTGGACTACTAGTGTGTTTGGAACAATCCATTTAAGTCTGTAACATTCCAAAATAGAAACATCTATTTTACACATCTCTATTAATGTCCAGGTAGTGTCAGGCATCACCAGAAATATTTATAGCATGGCTGTAAATCTTCCTTCTCCAGACACTTAACTCTTATTCACAACTTGGCTTATTCAATAGAGGATTCACAGATGGAACTCAGCAAGATTAATCTCTTTTTTGCAGATGAGAATGAAGCAGATTTGCCTACTGCAATACAAAGAAGTCAAAATATATATATAGGTCTATGCTTCAATCTTTGAGCTATAAATTGTAAGCTTTTTCCTCCTTCCTTTTTGAGTATGGTCATTCTCTTGATGGTCTTGGATGTACCTGGTCTACGTGACATAATGGTTCTCTTGGGCCTGGAACTGCTGTTCCTGCCTTGCTAGTTTAATTCCTTACAGATAGTACAGCACTCTGTTTAGTATGGCTAATTTATCATCACCATAATCGCAATCATAATTTCTCTTCAATGATATGTTTAGCTAGTGCTAAGACATAGAAATGTTCTATTCTCTGCATATCTAAATGTTAAATGCTGGATTATTGGATCCGCTTTTCCTCTGTGATAATGAGTAGGCAATAATATTTAAGGAATACATGTTCCCAAAGATTTTTTATTAGCAGATGAACAAATCACAATCAATTATGAAGATTTTTTTAAGAAGTAAAAAAAAAATCAGGATATGAGTCAACCCCAATATTTAGAAGTAGCCAAAGCAACAGCCAAATTGTACTAAACCCTGAGACTCTAGACAGTGCACAATGAATACTATTAAATGATAACAGTCTGGAGAATGCATAGCAATGGGATGTGTGTTATCCTAATTACAAATATTGTTGGTGTTCTACCATTAATATCTCTCACTGGTAGAACAAAACAGGATCATAGCAACAAGCTGGCAAACATGCAAAGGATTATTTGTCCAAAGCAGCACAACTATACAGCCATGCTTCCTTGAGTTGTCAGTACAGTTTTTCACTGGCTGTTTTTCACAGGAATCAACATATATATTACAGAATCAGCAAAATCCATTGCAGTATTATGATACTATAATTGCCGTCAATCTACTTTCAACATAACTCTCTGTGTTTACTTAGAAGTAAGTCCCACAAGAACAAATTCAGCAGTTTTGGTATCATAGGCTATCATTATTATGGATTTTGACACATCTTAATATATGGAATCCAAGAACGTTCTTCTTTGCATCCATTTCTGCTGCCATTTCACTTTAATTTCTTCCAATTCCCTTAGGATGATTTAAGACATTTACCATCCAGGAATAACAATCTTAGGATTTAACTATAATGCATTTAAATTACTGAACTGTTTACTCTTCAAGGTTCCCATAACCAAAATATTTTGCACAATTTGAACAAAGGCCATTCTTTGAAAGAGCTCAGGAGAGTTCCTAAGAGAACAAATATAGCAGAATGATTTGATGTTATAGAACCAATTATCTAAAAGTCTAAGTATTTCTGGTGAAGAGTGTCAAGTTACATTTTCAATCATACTATTTGTGGGGAGAATCCATTAGAGGTGATTTGGATGGAGAAATGGTTGGGTAAAAGGATTAAGCTAAGGCTACAATATCTGGGCTGCAAAAACCCACTGTTAGTAGCAAAGAGATACAGATGTTACTCCTTGCTCATTTAAAACAGGCTAATTTAATCTCTGAAGGCAGCCATGTTTGAAAACTAAACTTTATTCTGTGGCGGTCAGGCAGAGAAGACAGCTAATGTAGATGCATGCTTTTAAAAAATGAATTTTTCATGGACCAACCTCAGGTAAGTTGATAATCCAATTATTGGAGGGAAAAAGAGTCACTTCAACATGTATATCATTTTTATATTATGTTATATTCATCATCGTTATAACATTGTTTCTCTCTTTGCTGTAGGCCAGTGTTTCTCAATCTCAGCTTGGAGATGTGTGGACTTCAACTCCCAGAATTCCCCAGCCAGCATACTGGCTGGGGGAATCTTGGAGTTGAAGTCCATGCATCTTTAAGCTGCCTAGGTTGAAAAACACTGCTCTAGGCGGTCAAGGTGGTGAATCTCCCCTCATTTTAACAACATTGCAACTTTCCTGTGAAATCGGCTGGCTCGAGTAGAAGTGATTGGCCCAAAGTTGCCCAGTAAACTTTAAAACTGAGTGATGTGAATGAGGGCCTCCTTGGTCCTAGTCCAACACTTTAACCAATATACTACACTGGAAGAGTATATGTATATAATTTCATATACGTAGCACTATATGCTATTAATATTCATTCATAACTCAGGACAAGCAATTATTATAGCAGGGAAGAAAAGCAGAGAGGAATTTAAACAATGAATCTGATGGAACCTGACAATAAGTAAGGCTATAAACCAATATACAGTACCTAGATCTACTAAAATTCATTTTCTTTAATGACTTCATTGTGTTGAGCTTCTAATCTTTATATACTTGCGCAATTTACAGTCTTCCAGTTCATGTAAACATTTTTGTATTTCCAGCTTAGAGTGAAAGATGCAAACTCCTGTGCAAACAGAACAGAACAAACTACAGAAATATATGAAGAATGTAATAAAAACGTTTCCAAATGCAAAAAAATGTTTTCAAATGCCTATAAGATACTATGCTCTAAGAATAACTTTTGCGTATTAATTTCTTATCCAGAATTTATATTGGATATTTAAAGCTCAAAATCTTTAAAATACTTCGGTATCTAGGGAGTCCTATTGTGGGGTTTCAAGATTTAAAATGATTTGACCCTTACAGATAATTCTGGAGTTGTGCAATTCTGGTCAGTGACTTTAATAAACCTATTCTATTCTATTCTATTCTATTCTATTCTATTCTATTCTATTCTATTCTA